TCCAGCACTGCCTCAACTACCAGTAGCACTTTGACAAGTAGCATTTCATCCAGCACAACCCTGTCCACAACTAGAACATTCAGCTCAAGCACCAGCTCAAACACCTTCACAAGTAGCAGCACCGCCTCGACAAGCAGCACCACGTCCAGCACCGCCACAATTAGCTCAACATCGAGCACGGTGACTGGTTCTGCCTCGACAAGCAGTTCCTCCACCAGGACAAGAACCACCTCCATGTCTTCGACTCAAACCTTTACCACATCAACCAGTAGCACGGCAACTAGTACAACAACTTGCGTGGTGGAAGAGTTGACTGGCATGATTTGCATATTGGTTGGATTCGCCATCGTGGTTCTTGCAGCGCTCATTTTTGCATGTTGGATGCGCAAACGTCGAAGAAAAGTCTTTGCAGATGCCGCTCCGTCCCCCTCGCCCATAGCACTGTCAATGACAGCTATAATACCAGCGCCACCAAAACCTCCACTTCCTCCACCAATTCTCTTGGAGTACATCAATACAGACCCACTTGTCCCAACTCCCTTTCCCTCTGATCCATGTGTGCCACATCCTTCCAATGCCCATCCAGAGCTTTCATCAGCGCCAGACTTATATCCACAAGACCTAGAAGTTCTCAAAGACGAACCAGCACTTACATTTCAGCCTGACCCATTTCAGCCTGAATGCTTAGACGTTCCGCACATCCAGCCAATACCATTGCCAATGCCAGCCCACGATCCTGCTTGGCCAAGCAAACCGTACTCTGGGGAAGTTCCAGATGCCGCGTGCAACAGGCGCCTTGACAGCGAGGCACCTGCGCCTGAATGCCATCACATAGACATTGGCAGAGACGCACCAGCACTAACATTTCAGTTTGACTCATTTCAGCCAAAGTGCTTAGACCTTGCGCGTAATCAGCAGATGCAAAGGCCAGCCCACGATTCTGCTTGGCCACGCATATCATACTGTAGTGAATTTCCATATGCCCCGAGCAACAGACGCCTTGACAGAGAGG